GGTGCCAGGTCGATCCCACTGGACCCTTTCCATCATGAAGCAGGCATAGTTTATCCTTTTTGACATAGCCAGGATATAAGGTTCCAGGAATCCAAGGGAGCTGGTGAAAGTGGCTTCTCTCACTATGACACCAAATAACCCGCCATATTAGTTTCCTGTAGTTACCATAACAAATTACTGTAAACCTGGTTGCTTAAAACAACACAAATTTATTCTCTCACAGTTCTGGAGGCCAGAAGTTCAACATCAGTTTCACTGAGCCCAAATCAAGGTGTGTGCAGGGCTGTGCTCCCTTCAGAGCTCCAGGCAAGAATCCACTCCTGGATTCTTTCAGTTTCTTGTGGCTGCTGGCATTCCTTAGCTTGCAGCAGCATCACCCCAGTCCCTGCTTTCATCTTCATATCACCTTCTCCTCTTCTGTGTGATTTGATCTCCTTCTGCCTCTCTCTTAAAAATACATTTGTCACTGGATTTAGGCCCACCAGACAGTCGGATAATCTCCCCGTATCACGATCCTTAATTTAATCACATCTGCAAAGGCCCCTTTTCCTTATAATGTAACATTTGCAAGTCCCAGAGATTAGAACTTGCTATATTTGGATGGCTATTATTTTGCCTACTCCACCCACTCACAAAACTTCTGCCTCTGGTCCCTGTACCATTGAGCTCTGCTAGTTTGGAGGTCTTAGTTTTCAAGGGAAGGGAGGCAACACGGTTTTCATTACACTGGACGTTTAAACTTCAACTGGGCCATTGTGGGCTCCTCATGCCACTGAGCCAGCAGGCATGTAAAGAGTTAATACACTGGCTGCATGACTGATCTTCATTACTGGGGGAGAAATTGGTTGCTGCCACACAACAAGGCAAGGAGGACTAAGTCTGGAACCCAAGGGATTCTCCAAGGCCTTTCTATAATAAGTACTTCCATGTGTGATAGCAAAAGTCAATGAAAAGCTGTGGCACCCACCCGTGCAGGACCACTGAGGATTCAGACCCTTCAGGAATGATTATTTGGGTCACTCCACCATATAAAGATCCTTGACCAGGCACAGTGGCTCACGCCTATAATCATAGCACTTTTGGAGGCCGAGGCAGGCAGATCACGAGGTCAGGAGATCGAGACCATCCTGGCCAACATGGTGAAACCCTATCTCTACTAAAAATACAAAAATTAGCTGGGTGTGGTGGCGGGCGCCTGTAGTCCCAGCTACTCGGGAGGCTGAGGCAGGAGAATCGCTTGAACCCAGAAGGTGGAAGCTGCAGTGAGCCGAGATCATGCCACTACACTCCAGCCTCGCAACAGGGCGAGACTCTGTCTAAAAAAAAAAGAAAGAAAAAAAAATCCCTAAAAGGCTGAGGTGTTGGCTGAGGGCAAAGGAAACATGGAAGGGCAGTGGAAGAAGGAAATTATTCATACCCACCATGGCACTGTGACCAGAGATACCAGAAGGAGGTCGATTGCAGCTATGCATATTTCCTTCCTTGCTTGGGATGTGTGTGCATGTGTGTGTGCACTGTACATATTATTTTTTCCTCCCTCCTCTTTTCTCCCATATTTTATACAAACATTGTATGTCTAGATCAACTTTAGTGTTTAGTTGTAGGTGGAATTGTGCCTGAGTAAGAGGAATACTTAGCCCAAATATGGATTCAGTGACTAAACCCTGGAGATGGATGCATCTGTTGGACCGTGGGACATTGTGTTTCTCCCATTTGGGGGAGGGGACTAGAGTGTCTTCATTTGTATAAACGACAGTTTCATCTTACTAGGTGGAAGTTACTGTCGTTATATGGCGGTTCAAGTATGTGTGGATTGATGTTTGTAGAAACTGTGTATCCAAGGGGGTGGCCTGTGCCCATGTTATTGTCTTTCAGTTCCAAGTGCAACCTTCTAACTCTGGGATACTGGGGCTGGGACTCTGCAAACCACATCACTCCTCTGTTCCCTAGCTTTGACAATAAGGGGCACTAGGGGAAGATTGGAAGGCAGGAAAAGTGGAGACTTCTCTCTTCCTTTGCTTCCTATCCTTATCAGCGACAGCCAGGTTGCAACAGTTGATCCTAGACTTCGGCTTTTCTCCCGTACTCCCAGACAAGTCTCATTGTATCCCCTAAGAGGTACCAGCACCAGCCAGGGAGCACCTCTTTTTCAGACCTCTGAGCCCCAACACCACCAGGCTCTCTGTCTGCAAGCTTGTGGGTTCTGATAACCCCAACCTGTTTCCTATACTCCTGCAGCTCTAGGAGTGGTAACTGCTTTCTGCAGTTATTTTCTCTAGCTATCTCAGAATCACCTAGAGAAGGGCCGGGCGCGGTGGCTCAAACCTGTAATCCCAGCACTTTGGGAGGCCGAGATGGGCGGATCACGCGGTCAGGAGATCTAGACCATGCTGGCTAACACGGTGAAACCCCGTCTCTACTAAAAAATACAAAAAATTAGCTGGGTGAGGTGGTGGGCGCCTGTAGTACCAGCTACTTGGGAGGCTGAGGCAGGAGAATGGCGTGAACCCGGGAGGCCGGCCACTGCACTCCAGCCTGGGCGACAGAGCGAGACTCTCTCAAAAAAAAAAAAAAAAAAAATCACCTAGAGAAAATTCTCTTTTGTTCTTTCAGCCCTCCTGCATCAGTGCAACCCATCACCTATAATAAATTCTTTTTGCTGAAAAAGTTAGTGTTGTTTCTGCCTTCCTGACTTGATCTTGACTGATGCAAACTATTAGGAAAGTGGGGCCCACTTTTTACTGGGCACCATGAGAGGTCAGCCTGCCTGAAAGGAAGGCTTACAGGAAACAGAGTCCTGACATGTTTAAGCACCTAGATCTCACTGTGCATGAAACCAAATCTATCCCCTGGACTTCTTAGTTATCTGTGCCAATAAGTTTCTTTGTGTGTGTTTGTTTAAACCATATGGGGTTGGGTTTTTGTTGTATACAACAAAGAGTCCTGACTAATCCAAATCTCCTCGTCCCCATCCCCAAACCAGGAGCCTCACCTCACAGCCGCTGAACAAAACCAAGAACAATCACCTCCTATTGAAAACTTTAATGAAACCAATAAGTTAATAAGTTAACAAAGTGAGGTACTTGCATATCCGAGAACCGAGTTGATGGGGGAACCTCGATCATGGAAGGAAGGAGGGCTTCTTCCCATGTCTCCTTGGTCATAGGGTAATCCCATTCTCCTGGCCTTCTCCACAGCTGTCTTTGAATGGGTGGAGGGGTGGCTCTCTGGGGACAGTGCAGTGCAGGTGGGGTGAGCCAGGAGAGGCTCCATCCAGGGCATGATGGTCACGTGCAGAGGGCAGGTTGGGGCAGAGGCTGGGCACCATGGACTGAGCAAGATCCAGTCCAAACCCTGGCGCTGGTGCATGCAGGTCCCCAGCATGAGATGCAGGCAGCATGGCCTCAGCCCCTTGTTCCCACAGAGGGTTGCCATTGGTCCACTACCCCTCACCTTCCTGCCACCTGCATTGGCTTTCCAGAAGAGGAGCAAAGGGGTGGGGATAAGAAAGTGTTCCTGGGGTGAATGGGGGCTTATGCCCGGATGTGGGGCTGCCAATTGAAGAGAAGAAGTGGGGTATGGAGGGACGGGGGACAGTGCATGTGAAGCCAGATGCATGGTTGGTATAGCTATTAGATGCATTCTTATTCTCTCTGGGAGTGAGAGTGACTAGGAAGGCACAGGCCTGGCTAGAAGCGGGCCTGGGGTCTCTCCAGTGGTGTCAGGCCTGGGCTTGAGTTGTGCTGTGGAGACAGGGAGGTGGGCCCTTGGGGACAGGCAGAGGCAGTGGGTTAGGGCTCCTGGACCAGACAGGAGATCTTCTTGAAGAAGGAGAGCAGGTAAAGGTCTGGGTGGGGACTAGAGAGCTCTCGGGTTACTTCAAAGCTCCTTCCCCTGCTCAGATGGAGTTGGGGGTCTTCCTCTTAGTGGACGTCACCCTGCAAGGCCAGTCTGCTGGCATCTGCTGCAGAGGCCCAGGAGCGGCTGAGTGGCTCTGCACTCATGTCTCCGAGTGTGTCACGTCATTGCATGTTTGCGAGTGAGAGGCTTTCTCCCTGTCTGGAGAAACTAAAAGGCTATGTTTGTGTGATCATCCACGAAGCACTGTCTGGGAGTTTTGGGGAGGATACAGAAACTTGTGTTGACTATGAGTGGTGTCTGGAGGGCCAAGGAGGGGAGTGGCCACCCAGCAGGAGGAGGGAGCCCCCTGGGAGCTGACACTTGCAAATGGGAAGAAAGGCCCAGGCACTGCCCTTAGGAGAGGGCAGGGGAGAAACAGGCCCCATGCTAGGAGGGGAAGGAGTGATAAGCCAAAGAATAGGGACAGGGTGGTAGCCAAGCAGCCTGAGACCAGCTACTGCTGGGGGCCCAGCTCCCAACGGGGGAGGGGCAGAGAGACCCCATGGGGGTCCCCAAAGTTGCATATTTGACATGGTTTGCATATATGGTGCCCACCTGCCTTGTGGCAGGGTCCTGTGCTTTGTGGGTACCTGTGGGGGCACCTTGGCCCACCCCCAAGTGGGGCGGGGACTTGGCGGGAGGGCTTCCCTGCTGTGTCCGAAGGGTGGGCCAGAGACCTCACCTTGCATAGCTGGCAGCTGGGTCAGGGCCCAGGGCCCCAGCGCCCGCTCCCACTCCCGGGGCTGTGCCCCTGCCAGGCGGGCCACATCGGGCCTTGATGGAGTGGGCAGGATGACACACGAAGCTAAAATTGTATCTGCTGTCAAGGCCGTATTTGATGACAGTTTGGGGACTCCCAGAGCCACCTGCAAACTCTCCTTGCTGAGCCAGGCAAATTTAGAAGATAAACAGTAGCTGTACATTGGTTAATTGTGCATCTG